ACCTGTGATTCCAAAGCTTTAATTTTTTCCTTCAAAGATAACATGTCCTCCTTAAACTTTTCTTGTATATCATGTAGATTCCCATCTTGGAGGTACATTCTGTCTGTTACCTTATCAAAACTTTGTGATAAAGTCTGAAGGTCAAATTCAACAGCCTGAACCCTTTCAAGGTAACTTTCTAATACCCTTGGATATGGAATCAATTTTGTCTGTCATAGTATCCACTTGTTCAGATAACCTCTGATTTTCAATAATTTTAATCCTGTCAATTAGTTGTTCATTATTAGTTTGTAAAGATTCTATCATTCTTAGGAGTGCCATATTCTTCTGTTCATTATTAGTACGTAAAGATTCAATCGTTCTTAGGAGTGCCATATTCTTCCTTAATGATAGAATATGGAAAAGAAAACTGAGGCCTAGTATCAAGCAAATTAAGGTATCCCCATAATCATATAAACCTTGTATGATGTAATTCATTGTATTAATAAATATAAGTTTACTAATCCATTGTATTAGTGAAAACAAAGCAGTAAAATTTGCGTTAGAAACGAAAACTGCCATATTGCCTATTATCCAGCAGGTGGCGCTGTTGCAGAGTCGCGGTGAAAACATGGTCCTGTTTCAGTGCCTTAGTAGATGTTAAAAACTGGAAAATGCAAGTTTCTCAACAAAGTAAATGTAATTAAATCAATTCCTGAGACGGAACCAGAAACCCAGAATCCAGGGGTAGAGAAGAGCAATCTGGAAGCCGCTTATGCCTCCATGTGACAGAGTCACCCTGAGGGGTTGCAGCTTTCAGCAACCGCGTGCTCTGGTTCGTGCCACTTAAGAGCTGTACTTGCAAGGGAGATTTAAAAATGACTCAGAAAAGAGCAAACCACGCGGCCAGAGACTACGCGGGCCTGTGGAGTTTAAATCCACGTGGGGAGGCCAAGGCCGCTGCTGGAAGGCACAGGCAGCAGCTGAGGAAGGGAGGGCTCCCGCCAAGCCAAACTCGCGGCCGCCAAGCCGAACTTGCGGCTGCGAGCGGGGAAAGGAGAGGTTCTAAAACCAAATGTTGGGTGCCAAAATGAAGGCGAAAGTCACAAACAATGCCACACCAATTCGGGGTTATGATTATTAGGGTGGTATTTATTTAAAGGGGAAAAAACTTACAGATCACTGTCCCAGGCAACAGCCCTCTACGCAACCAGGAAAGGAGTCTAGTCGCCAGTGGAGCAGGAAGTGAAGAGAGAGAGGAGAGGGAAGTGGCCGCTTTTTTAAAGGGAGAGAAACCACGCCCCAATGGGCTGGTACCTCAGCGGTGATAGGCTGGAGGAGTGGGAGGACCTCCCGCAACAAGTGGGTGCTACAGTGCCAGGTTCACCAGTGCCCTCTTCGGAGCCCATAGAAAAGGGTACTATGGCCGGCTGGCGAGATATGCAGCCTGTTGGGTAGCCATGGCAGTATCGTCCACAAAAGGAGTTATGGCTCCAGGAATGCTGAGGAAGGATACATACTGATCTGCGTGTTGTAATATCGGGAGTGTGAGTCAGCGGCTGTCCTGGGTGCCGGGTGACTCAACCCGATGCCTCCTGGAACACTGAGGGATGCACACGGCTTTGAGTAAGAAGATGTGTGGAGGACTCGGGAAGCAAGGGGCAATGCAGGAGAAAGTGTCAGCTCACCTAGAGGCGGGGCCTCTTGGCACACACCTGCAGTGCAGGAAGGACCAGTGAGTCATGGTCATATAGTCTTAGTGCTGTACCTCTCTACAGAGCAGCGCTTCTCAGCCTTCCTGAGGCGGAGACCCTTCAGTACACTTCCTCATGTTGTGGTGACCCCCAACCATATAATTATGTTTGTTGCTACTTCATAACTGTGATTTTTTTCTACTGTCATGAATCGAAGTGTAAATATCTGATGTGTAAGCCCTGTGAAAGGGTTGTTTGACCCCCAAGGGGTTGTGACCCACAGGTTGAGAACCTCTGCTATAGGCGGTCCACAGCCATTAATAACGCCTTCAGTTGGAGGCTACGGGGTGTGACGAGGAAAAGTACTGGACTTGTAAAAAGAATCCAGAGACACGTGAATACACCTCAGAAGCGTGGTCGTCTGTCCGAGAAGCCAGGCTAGTGAGCACACTACACTTTCAATGACACAAAATTCTAGAAGAGACAAACTGGTAGCTGGTTGTACAACCCAGATCAGTATTTGCTTGTAAGGGAGTGGAGGCTTAAGGGAGTCTCTTTGGGATTACAACAATGCTTGATGCAAGTGGAGATTATGAGTATCTATTAAACCCGATGGACTTGCTAGATAGCTCAGGGGATTAAGCTTGCCACCAAACCTTAAGAACCAGAGTTCCATCACTGGAACTCTCTGGGTGGAAGGGGAGAACCCAGTCCTGCAAGCTGTCCTCTGCCCCCAACATATGTGCTGTGGCTCACACATGTGGATACACACACAAATAAATGTAATTTAAAGGAAAAAAAAACCCACACTGCTAACCCAACGTTAAACACCAACATAGCAGCAAATGACTGGTTGGGTCTCACTGCATTTAAGCGTGATAGGCCTGTCCTGAGGGATTTCTAATAGCACCTTGTTTGCTTATTATTGCTTCCCATGGTGTGGTTTATGCTTTCACAAAAAGGCCATGTGGCTAATCATGACACAGCTGTGAAGTGCATGTGTGTGTGTGTGTGTGTGTGTGTGCGTGCGCGCGCAGGTCCTCACTATGTAGCTCAGGCTGGCCTGTCACTCACGATGCTGGCCTAGGTCTTGAAGCGATCCTCTTGGCCTCCAGAGTACTCGGATTACAGGCACACACACGATATAAACACAAAACTGCAGACATCCCAGCATGCATGGTTAAAGGCAGGTAACACCTGGCACACGTGTTTTGCAATGTTTTACCTCATGTGAGCCTCATGACCATCCCTGGGGCACATACATATATACTGTCACTTTAGAGAGACTAAGACTAGGGCAGGAGAAAGGTGACCTGACAGACCTGGGCCAGCCAGCGTCCATCCCAAGGATTCGAGCCTGGCAACTATGACACCAGGGTCCTACACAGTTGATTGCCTCAAACTGGAAAACTGAGGTTTGAACTTCGACATCTAACCTGATCCTTTTCCATTCTGGCCCATGACACAAACGCATCTGAAAGCTTCGAGAACCTTCTTTCTGCCCAGTTTCATCACACTTGTTCAAGGGATTCTCTTCTATTTGCTGGCCAAGCCAAACCTTTTCCCAGATGCCTATGCTGGTATTTCAGCAAGTGCCTGTACTTGAGCAAGCCTGTCTGACTCAGTTGCTAGCAGAAATGACACCATTTCCCCATTCTAGCCTAGGGTGACAAAACAATACAAACAGGCCACCCATAGCATTCTGACACGTTGACAGTGGCAGGAAAAACACACCAGGCCACATTCTCCTTATCTCGGACAGAGAGGTGAGCGTACAAAGCGCGGCTGTTTCCTGACGGGCCATGTGATAGCTGGAAGTGCTGGGGACATGGGCTCCCATTTAAACTGCTTCATTGTGAAAAGAGGATCCCATTCAAGCAGAGGCATTGAGAGCTCAGTGTCCCCTTCTGTCCCATCCTGACTTCTCTCAGAGAGTGGAAACCTGAATGAGGCAGGCTCATGGCCACCTCCGCTGTGTTCTGAGGAACTCTGGAAATGCACAAAAGGCCCTCTTTCTTCATCTCCTAACTGCGTATCCATTACAGCACTTAAGGCGCAGACAAAATAATTCGGCTGGTCATTGAGTAGCCAAAAGGGAGGCAGCCAGATCAAAATTAGACAGTGGAAGGCCTTCACAGTGGTCTGGGATCAGGGCCGCCCTTGCAGTGGCCCTTGCTGTTCTGGTTTGCAGGAGCTCTCTCCCATCACCGAGCTCTGCATTGTCTTAAAGAGATTTTTCCACAGGGCACAGATGCCTTATGAACCTCAAGGGCTGGCTATGAATTGCCCTCAGCTCCCACTGGGCAGTACAGGAATAGGAAAGGGCACCGTCTTGACCCCACAGGCACCGACGCTAGACCTTTACCTTGGTTGGACCAGTGGAGTTGTTGACGAATATTCCAGTCCCAGCAAATTAGATGGGCAGTGATTAAACTATGGTCTGGTTCTCCGAGGAAAACAGGATTCTTGGAGAATTAAAGGAGCGAAATCTGCTTTATCTCCAGCTGTTCCCCCTTGAGCTTCTGCTAGGTATACTTCGCGGATAGCCCATCAGCAAGCAAAGCCCAGGACAAGGCAAGTGACCTTTCGCTGAACAACTCCAGATCTAGGTGTCACTAAATCAAGAAACCAATTCCTAGATTCCTAGGATGAGGGGTTCCCACAGACCTTGAGTGTGTTGTGGGGGTGGGGGGCAAAGAACACTGTAGCTGAGGTAGAAAGGAGGGCAACAATATTATCTTTGCCCCTCACATCTTAGATCTTCAGAAGAGCCAAGAACTCAGACAGCAAACAATAGGACTTAGAGTGCAGTGTTGTAGGCATACTATGCTGCCCCTGGAGGTGGTAATGTTCTTTCTTCCTTAGCTCATCCTGACTGAGTAGCATAGGGCGTCCTTGTTCTAATGGGCGGTCTTAACATCCTTGTAAGCACACACATACCATCCCTGAGATGTGTAATGTAAATACTCTTATCAGAGAAAGATAATATTAAAATTGATTCCAAGAAAATTAAAATAACACGACATAATTACCCAACAGGATATCCTCTCAATCGCAGAAAAGTCACTCTGTCCCCGTCTGCGGGGTAGGGAGCACGCTTTGGCCATCGGAAAGCTCTGTTAGCTTACTCAGAGACCAGTGCCAGGAATTCTGTGATCTTTGGTCACATTGCCAAGATTCAAAAGCCATGTCGACAGTAAGCGTTTGCACAGATACGGGAAAGGGAGAATGCAGCTCCAGCTGCAGAGCAGGAGGGCAGCGCGGATTTTTCAATTGCAGTAACTTTTACCAAGGGCTGAAAAGGAGCTCTCGCTCACCGGCTCTTACCTAGCTCTCCCCGGAGGTTGATGAGTTCCTGAGAGAGGGTTTTGTGTTGCTTCAGAGCTTCTTCCCGCTGCGGAAAACACACATCGGGTTACTCAGGGTTTGAAGAGGGTCCCTTTTCAGTAAGATACACATTTACTACTGCTAGGAAAATGAGACCCAGAATCGAGAAGCCAAGATACAAATTACTTAAGCTAACAATTTGTGTCGTTAAAAACAAAGCAAAACACAGATGTCCCTTTGCCATGAAGGAATTTGGGGTTTCGAAAATCTGTATTTTCCCCGGTCCTGGTGAAACTTTCCCCTGAGGAAATGAATGGCTCATTTAAAAATATTTGCTTTGCGTCTGGTGCTCACTGCAGACCCACTAACGCTTTCAGCTAATGTATACTGTACTTAAGAAGTAATGCATTCTCTCCCTCCAAGGGCAATAAAGGCCTAATCGGTTTAAGATAAATATTTAATGTTCTAAACATAGGCACTTATAAGGACTTTGTCCCATATCTGCAAATAAAAAAAAAAGTTTTTGTTATAGGGCCAATCCTGTACTCTACACAAGAAAAAGAAAGTTTGTTTTTAAAGTGGGACAAACCAAATTTAATATCTTAAAGATGAAATTACATTGATTTTACCCAGCTACACACCATTTCCCAAAGATTCTTACATCATGGATAAATACATTTAACAGAAGTGAAGTAAAGGCCGTCAGGAGGCTGTTTGTGCAAATATCAAATCTTGCGATAAAGAATAATTTTCAGGTTACCTGCAGGATCTGTAGCAATCACACATCCACACATACAAACACAATCGTTAGCCACCGTTCCTCGGGATGCAGATTCCCTGGCACCGGGATGGAACTAAGAAGGCAGAGGATTTCCAAGCTCTCTGAAAATGCCCTTCCTGGGATCACCACAGATGTGGGGCTCCCGCGTCTGGATCACACTGTGGCAGAGATCATGAGACTGGCCTCTGCGGGCTAGGGTTGCTTCTCAATCCAAAGCACTTCGCTCTGGTTCCAGACAGGGTCTGCGTTAGTCCCTGACACCCTTTCCAGTAAAGCCCTGTAAACAAATACTAATTACCCTTGTTGCTGCACATGGAAGAGACAGGCACATTTTGCTGCTGGGGCAGCCCATTTTCCAGCTTCGGTCTCCAACTCCCCCACCCCCTGCACCTTCCGAGTAGTGCACAGGTGGCCCCGCCCCCCACCGGGTCGGGTCTGCCCACATTCAAAGCTCAACCCCGGAGGAGCGCCATTGGCCCTGGTGGCCTTCCCTGGCGTCCTGCAGGTTACTGCCTCCGACTCCTCTCTCTCTCTTTCTCTCTCCCCACAGAAGCTGATACTGCAGCTCCTGCCTCTGGCACAGGCTGCCCGCGATTACTTAAAGCCACAGCCCTTCAATTTATGAGAAATGGGAGCCAGACATTTCCCTGATCGATCGCCACTTACTTAATATCAGCCGGGGCGGAGGAAACAGAAACGGGACCCTCTCAGCGTGGATAATGGAGCTATTTTTAGATGTATGGGCCTTTTTAACTCCATCTCTAATTGAGGTCATTAGATTATCACGCTCACTAATAGAAAAGGGAAATTTGTTCTTCAAAACCCGTATACTAAGGGCAATCAGGGGGCCCTGTTGTGATTTAGGATTTCAGATGACACTCCAGCAGAGTGCAGCCCATTGATGTTTTAGAGACCGGAAGCGCTGACCTGGGAGCTGGAGATCACACATATTTGATCGCTTTTATCATACTAGTCCCTCAGTCTCTTTCCTTATGGATGGCTAACAGTGACTGGAAATTTTAAAGTACATTTTCCCACCATTATATTTACACAGTAATGCTTGATAGAATCCTAAAAGGTTTTTAACAGTTTAAGCTGTGCTGAAACCAATCAAGAACTTCAAATTTAAAAAAATAATAAACGATTGCTTTTCTAATGCAAAAGTGAAAGTTTGAGGACAATAGATTAGCCCACAGATACATTGCTCTTCTCTTTTCTTCCCTCACTACTGACCCTATGCTTGCTTCCCTCTGCCCCCACCTCCCGAGTTCTGGGATTGTAGGAATGTGCCACCACACCTGGACTTTTCTAGCACTTTTGAGTCAAGCCTTAATTTTATTCACACACCAGGTAAATGGTAGGTTTGTCACTGGAGTCGAGGAAAAGCAGAGGACAGCTTTATTAGACAAGCAGATCTGAACCTGGGAACTTGCTTCAGGGTCCCCTTTCCCACAGCAGTCAAGTCGCAAACAGAAGGGCGCGAAAGGCAAGAACTGAGAGGGAGATGGCAAAGGCTAACGCTAGAGATGCTTCTCTTTGGAGAACTGTGGAAATGCCACAAGCACTTCCACACACACACACAAGGGCCGTTACACCTTATTAGTGGAGTTTCGGGGTCATTACACATCTCTCCTATCCACTGCCTTTAACTGTGCTCAGACCTCTGCCAGATCTAAACAGCAAGAGGATATCAAGGTCATTTGTCACCCTGCCACATTGACCAGAGATGGGGGGTGGGTGGAGGGAGGCAGTCAAACTACTCTTCCTACACAACAGGTTTCTAACCCTCTGAATTTTGCTCTGTCATCTCTGCTCTAGCCCTGGTTCATGAGAGCCCGGTACTGAACCATGGAAGGGATGAGTTTCTTTACCCCTAGAGGGCTATTATTTCCCACGTGTATAAACTCCCTAGAGCTCACAGAAGCCTTGTGTATTACAAACACAACACCTGGACTGGAATTGTCCAGCTCCTGCTCACCGTCCCAAGCTCATCTATGTAAGTGAAAAACTAGCCGTCCTCCAAGATCCTGTCGATGCTACCCCTCTTTGGATGTCTGGCTTTCTTAACCTGATACATCTTATACACTTTCTGGAAAGTTAAATGTCAGATGCACCATCTCCTCCCCCAAATGTCCCAAAGGGATGTTTGTCTTTGTGAATTCTAAGCTATTATTCAGCTATCAACTAAGAACATTTCATATCATACACCACATAATATGTAAGAAAATTGAGACATAGATAGCTACTGCCTTCCAGGAGCTTGGAACTTAGCGGGGAAACGTCCAAGACCAATTCTTTGGTCATTAACCAAATGACATCATCCGAGGGGAAACAGCACAGGACCATGGGAAACTGGGGATGTTAAATAGGATCTACTCAAAATGCATACCATCGAGCTCATACCGTAACCGATGTACTGTTAGAGTCTGCATGACCGTCTGGGTTGCTTGCCCTTTAAATGTACTTGTTACTCGCAGATGATAAAATACATTCTGCCCGTTAGAGACAGACTGATTTCTTCAGTGGCTTAGGTTAGTGTCTCTGTCATAGATGATAAACCACTCATAGTCCAGACAAGAGGTTCATTTGATTATCTCTGTACTATATACCATGCAGGCCCCTCCTCCAACACACAGTGAGACTGGGGAGCAAGGTGGGGACTCCACATGAAGATGCTTTCGTACTCATGCATTAAATATATGAAACGCTCTAAGGGGGAAAAATGGGATTCTGCATAATTTAATTACGGTCACTGGGACGCAAGCACTTAGTAGCTGGCTGGCGTCCACTGGTGTGCCTGAACTCTGCTAGCTACCAACTAACCTCAAGAGCACAGGGAATTTTACAGGAAAGAGCTGCCTCAGACAGTTCGGACATGGCTACGTCTGATTTCCTCCAGTGCTTTTATCACTGTGGACACCTTTCTTTATCCTTTAAATCTGAGACGAATCAGATAGTTAGCAACCCTTAACCCCTCCTCTTTTCCCATTTTTCTTTTCTTTTTTAAAGGTGCTAGCCTAAATTAGATTCTATTTGCAAACAAACTATTTGGGTCTTGCTTTACCTTACCGAGAAGTCTGCCTAGCAACCCTTTAATGAAGACTCTGAGGTTACTATCACCAATGCTGGCTGTCAGTGTCCAAATGTTTCAATAATGGGTACGAAAGGAAAGGGTTAAGAGAATTTCAGTTGCTTAACTTTTCCCGTCTTTCCCTTTCAACTGTTTCGTAACAGTGCCTTATACACATTAGGCAACCAGTGAGGATCACTGATTGTCCAACAAAGGAGTGAAGAACATTTGCATAGGGCTCACACGTGCATCTTGTACGATATACCTGGGGTCCCATCTTCTCCCTCCACTTTGTCCACTCAGGTATGTTCTGTCTATTGCAATTCTCGGGGTGGTTTTACAAAGAAAGAACTGGAGGCAGACCCTGCTCTAGGAACCTCTATCTTATAAAACCAAAAACAGGGACTGGAGAAATAACTCAGTGGCTAAGAGCACTGGCTGCTCCTCCAGAGGACCCAGGTTCAATTTCTAGCAGCCATACAGCAGCTTTCAACTGTCTGCAATTCCAGTTCCCAGGGATCTGACGCCCTCTTCTGGCTTCCATGGAAACTGCAACTAAGTAACAGATGTACATGTAACAAACACATAAAATAAAATATGCATAAAAAGCAGAAACAAGCACAGAGTGAGGAGCCATCGTATAGGAAAGAGGTGTAAGTTCCTGGAGTACAGAGGGAGGGCAGAGGTAGAGGTAGAAGACCCGGGAAGGGTCCCTGGGTTTGATTCAGCAGAGTCACTGATAGAGCCGCTTTCGGTGGTTTGGACAGAAGCATCCCACTACACACTCAAGCTCTAAAGGTTTGACCACCGCATCAAGCTGGTGCTGTTGAGAGATGACTGGATCGTGAGGATGCGAACTTCATCAGCGGGCTATTTCTATTCCACAGATGAATGCAGAGTTGAGTGGGCTATGAGGGGGTGGCACCTGCTGGTTGGAGGAAGTAAGCTACTTAAAGCAGGGTGTTAAAGGATGTTACGTTGTGCCTGGTCTCTTCCTGTATCTTTCCCTCCTCTTGTCTCCCAAGGCATGAGTCACATGCTCCATCACTTCCTACCATGCTGTTCCTTCTGTACTCTTGTCTCCCATGGCGTGAGCTATGTGCTCCATCACTCCCTACCATGATGATCTTTCTCTCCTCTTGTCTCCCATGGCATGAGTCACGTGCTCCATCACTCCCTACCATGATGATCTTTCTCTCCTCTTGTCTCCCACGGCATGAGTCACATGCTCCATCACTTCCTACCATGCTGTTCCTTCTGTACTCTTGTCTCCCATGGCGTGAGCTATGTGCTCCATCACTCCCTACCGTGATGATCTTTCTCTCCTCTTGTCTCCCATGGCATGAGTCACGTGCTCCATCACTCCCTACCATGATGATCTTTCTCTCCTCTTGTCTCCCACGGCATGAGTCATGTGCTACATCTTTTGCTTCCTGCCACGACGTTCTGGCTCATACAGTAATGGTGGGGTCAAGTCACCATGGTCATGTATGAGAACTCTAAAAAAAAGGTTCTTGAAACTCATTAAGAGTATGACATGCTGTGGACGAAGAAAGCATCGCTCAACGGACTAAATCCACAGCCATTTAAATTCAGGGCTCTATTCTTTCCTCAATGAGCACCTGATGAACTACATGACTTCTGTTTAGGGGCCAACTTCATCTGGGCCAAAAAGACTCTTCTTAACAGCATATTTGTGTATTCCTTAGGATGCTCCTGCCAGAAGGGGCCCTTAGAGATGAAGACAGAGAGATGGCAGATTCCTGCTTCCTTCAAGTACATTCCTGGACCTTTGCCCATGGAGGAGCAATGAAAACAGGGTTGTCTTCTTAACTAGTATTTGACTTTGTCTGTAGAATCAGTATGTATATACTGCGTGCAGGTCGTGAAGCAACGATGCTCACGTACAAAGATCTGATTGTGCAGGGATCCTAGGAGAGCAGCAGCTGGAATCGACCCTGCTAGCTGTCTGGAGGTTCTGAGCTCTGTGCCTTGATTTTCTTATTTCTACAATTCCCTTTTACTGGGTGAGCATTTAAGAAGATAAGTGCTAGGTATTATTCAAAAATATTAACTCTATCTTGTTTTCCTTCATCTCCCTAATACACAACCAAGCAGTTGGGTGGTGAGAGTTCCATGCAAAAGGGCACCAGTGTCAAATTATAGAATTGTATAGTCAAAGCTAATAAATCAGAACCATTCCTGACAAGCATACATAATTTAATAATTTCCTAGTAGGTGCATTTTTTTAAAAAGTTAATTTTAGTAGTTTTTTTACTCAGCTCAAACATATACCATCCCATTTCAATCTAATCAATAAAAAATACCAATAATATATCCATATGCTCTTTTTCTTTCTAAGTCTTTAAGTACCATGTGTAGTTCCCACCAATTCTTAACTCATGACTAACTCATAATGATCATTTCACAGACACACACTACCTTCCCGAGAGTCCTGGAGAGCCACTAGAGGGCCGTCAGCAGGGTGGAGTGCTCTGCCCAGTTAGCAGTGCATGGAATGGACTGCAGAGAGAAGGGTGAAAACAGAGGTGCCCACATCAGACCCTCTGTGGGCAGTGGAGAACCACTAGGGTAACCTCAGCAGCACTGAGTGCTCTGCAGCGTTAGCAGTGTGTGGGATGGACTGCGGAGAGAAGGGTGGAAACAGAGAGGGGCTATTGGAACCCAGTGATCAGTCGGGTCTAAACAGATGACCTTGGGAAGAAGAGAAATCTCATTTTCCAAAGTATTAACTAAATGGGAAAGCTGTATATAATTAGACCCAAAAAAGTAAGTGGAATGAAACTTTAATGCTATTAGAATCTAGTGAGACATATGTGTGTGTATGTATGTGTGTGTATATATATATATATATATATATATATATATATATATATATATATATATATTACAGGCAATTATCTTTTCTCTACTGTCTTTCCAATTAAGAGACTCTGGAAGGGAAATATTAGCAGGCTCAGGAGATGGCTCAGTGGTTAGGAGGGCTTGCTGTGAAAGCAAGAGGACCTGAGTTCAAATCCTCAATACGCATTTAAAAAGCCAGGTATGGTAGTCCATGCCTATAACTTCAGCCTGGGGAGATGGAGACAGGTGGATCCACCAGCAAACCAGCCTGGCCGAAACTTCCAGCTTCAGATTCAGTGGGAAACTCTATCTCAAAAAGTAAGGAGAGCAACAGAGGACCACTCTTGCTTTTGCACACATGGGTGCCTGCACCCGTATGTCCACATGCTTATACTGCTTACACACCACATGTGAAGGCAGAAGGAAGGAGGGGTGATAACACAACATTGTTGTAATCCCAAGTTCTAAAGACTGATACAAATATTAAGTGATGAATGTGTAGTTTCAGTTCTGGAGATAGCTCAGTCAGTAAAACCTTAGCTTTATAAGAACAAAGTTCTGAGTTTAATCTCTAGGGCCCTCTGTTTTAAAAGGGCATGGTAGGTGGTAGTGGCACAATCCTTTAATCCCAGCATTCAGGAGAACCTCTGAGAGTTCAAGGCCAACCCAATCTGCAGAGCAAATTCCAGGAAAGCCAGGGCTACAAAGAGAACCCGTCTTGAAAACAAAACAAAAAGCCAGGCTTAGTTTCCAGTACTGGATTGGTAGGGAAGTGGAGACAGACCAATCCCCGGGCCTTGCTTGTGAGCCAACTGCCCAACTTGGTGAGTTTCGTGCCAGTGAAAAACCCTGCCTCAAAGAGGATGGCTCAGGGGTTAAGAGCATTGCCTGCTCTTCCAAAGGTCCTGAGTTCAATTCCCAGCAACCACATGGTGGCTCACAACCATCTGTAAAGAGGTCTGGCGCCCTCTTCTGGCCTTCAGGCATACAGACAGAATATTGTACACATGATAAATAAACAAACAAATAAATAAATAAATAAATATTAAAAGTGGGAAAGTTTAAACACTTCACAACAGTTTAAAAAAAAAAGAAGAAGATGACTCCCACGGAATAAATGAGGTCATTCTCTAGTCTCTATTTCTATGTACATACCATAAACATGAGCGTGCACAAGTAAGGCGCACAGGCACGCACACGGAGACAGAGAGACAGACGGTGCTAGAGAGATGGTGCCCTGGTCCTCCAATCATTAACTCAGACATGCACGAGTTGGGCAACCTTTCCCCACGCCCGCGGGTTTTACATCCTTACCTCGGACAGGAGGTGCTGGATCACAACCGTTAATGCTTCAAACTTGGTATTGCCGCAGGAAAGAAGCTGCTTGAGGTGTAAGATGAATCCACTTTGGTTTTCACATTTTGTTTTGTATTGCGCCAACTCAAGTGCTCTTTCGGAGGATAGCACATCCGGGGCCGTCTGGGTCTGGATGCACAGGCTTCTGGGATTCTTCTGCCGGCCTTTCTCAACTGCAAGAGGAAGAAATGAAAGCACAAAGATGTGCGAGGGTAAATTTTATAATCACGGCCACACGGGTTCACAGGCAGCTAACTGCGCCGACATGAAAGCTTTTGAATCATGTTTACTTTGGGAAATACACATGGAAGCAGATTGCAATTGATTGGGATCAGGGTGGCTGGAATTCATGACTGTGAAGATTCATGTGGAGCCGAGAATTACGCATATGAATCAAACACATGTAGCAAGCAACTCAGAAACATAAAAAATTGGGGGGCATGGCTTTTTACAATTGTGTGTTTGTGAGGTACGGGCGTGTAAGCGTGGATATCTGAACACCAGTGAATTCCAGAGGCAATCAGAGGACAACTTCCCAGAGCTGCTTCTCTTTGACTCTGGGTCCCCAGATCAAACTCAGGTTCCCAGGCTAGCACAGCAAGCACATATATCTGCTGAGCCGTCTTTCCAACTCAACGGCATGGCTTTAAATTTTCCAGTAAAATTGACAAAGAAATCTGACAGCCAAAGGCCTTTTCTATGCTGGCCTTTTCTGTGTCGATTGGGGGTGGTCTTGTGATTTCTGTCTTTTGAATTTATTTATGTGATGAATTATATTTATTGATTCTTGTAGGTTGAGCCATCCCTAAAGCTCTGGAGTGAAGTCAGCTTGTTCAGGTTGAATGGTCTTTTTGATACAATCTTAAATTCAGTTTGCCAGTATTTTATTGGGAATATCTGCGCACCTATGTCTATCAGAGAGGTTGATTTAGTGTGTGTGTGTGTGTGTGTGTGTGTGTGTGTGTGAGAGAGAGAGAGAGAGAGAGAGAGAGAGAGAGAGAGAGAGAGGATGAACTAGACATTAGTATGCTACAAATTAAAGATGTAGTTTTAAACCCCTTTTGCTTATAAACAAAAGGTGAAAAGGTATAATCAAAAAGGAGAGATTTTTAAAAAAGAAACCCAATAACAACAACTACTTCTGACATAAGCACAAACGAAAATTCAAATTATTAAACTTGAGAAGCTCTTCTTTGCTCTTACAGTTTCCTTTTTAAAGACTTGTTATACTGATGTGATGGCATACTCCTTTAATCCCAGCAGTTGGGATGCAGAGGCAGTGGGATCTCGGAGTTCCAGGACAACCTGGTCTAGGGTTCTAGCCAACTGGGGATACACAGCGAGACATTGTCTCCAAATAAATGAGTAAATTTGTTTCGTTTTAATTGGTATGCAAAGTAATAGGTTTCATTATAGTATTTTCACAGATAATTCCTTTTCATTTGTAAAAACTTCTTCACAGTTTGTTTCCTGTTGGTCCTCCTCCCAGCCCCAAAACCCCTCCCACTCTCCCAGCAGTCCCCTCCCGCTTCCCATCACAGGTCTCAGATGCTGCTTCCTTGCTGTCTGTCCTGTCACTGCCATGGTCTTCGTTGCAGACGTTGAGCTAATTAATAAAGCGGCACATACACTGAAGATCTCGCTTCGCCCCACTGAGGTCACTGTTGAAGAGCACTCTATGCCTGGATACATTGCTTCATTTTACAGTAAGTGCAGACTTAATGTTCCCCAAGTTGTAATAGTGGGTGAATGAGAACTTTATCCCGAGCACCTCCATCTACGATACCATTTGGAGGCCCTGCTCACTTCCCATGCTGAGCTCTGGGAAATACTTTTCTAAATGAAAATCTTGCTCAGTTTTGGAAGCATTCCAGACTTTAAGTTGCTCTGGATAAAACAGGAAACAATATTGCTTGGTGTCTGGAAATAAACAGTCTCGACAATCAAAACAAATCTAAATATAAAAGGAAGGCACATGAAATCAGAAAGAGTAAAATCAATTTTCCTTATTATGACGTGCAGTCCCTGTGGCGCCGTCCCCCTTCTGGTGTGACGAATTTGACGGGACTTTTGAAGCTGCAACTCTTTCCTCTCATTTTTTAGGGAGTCACAAACTACCACCCAGGAGAGCTGGAAGGAAAGTAAAGACACATATGGATTGTGTTCCAAGAGTCAGTGATTCTTGGTTACACTCAGAATAATATTTAAATATCAAGTTACATTCTAAATAATATTTTAGTATCAATCAGATAAAGGGGTCCTCACTTCCTGTGGCTGCTTTACATGGTAAAACAAATCCCCACTGCGTCTTACAATGCCTGGAGATGGGGAAAGATCCAGCATACTTTAGTGAATTTAGTTTTTAAATTGCTTATCACTAATTGCCACTTCCCTAGCTGAGGAAACAGCCAGTTTGATATTGCCGTAATCAAATAGTACAGAAAAATAATTAATCCCTTACTATATTAATGACAAAAATCTAAAATGGCGTATCAACATATTCTGTATATCAATTCCTCAATGTTTGCCTTTGAGAGCTACTATTACTGTGATGAAATATCATGACCAAAGCAACTTGGGGAGGAAAGGGTTTATTTCAGCTTACACTCTCCCTTCCAGGAACCTGGAGCCCACTAGCTAAGAACAATGGCAGGGTTTTACTGTTAAAGAGAGTTCTCTGTTCTCCTCTTCAAACCTCAATCTCTCTGTAGCCCAGGCTAGCTTCAAATTCCTGGGCTCAAGTGGTCCTCTGCATTACCTCCCGAGCTATGGGCAGGTGCTACCCAAGGATACCCCCCTCTCTTATTTTTTCTTTGATCTTTCTGGTACCTACATAGGAAAGGCCAGAGCAGATGAAAGGGCGTCTCGACTGTAAACAGACTCTCTGAGATAGATCCCTTCAGAATCTAGGCCAAACAACACAGGCTCTGTGACTCCTCACACTCTAGAAATTAGACTGGATATCAATGTAACTTATTAAAATACAGGAACAAAATACATGCAATAACCTTACCAGACTACTGAACCTATCAGATCATAATTACAGAGTTTGAGGGGCGGCTCTCACCTGCTCCCCAGTTTTTTCCACAATGTCAGGGATCAGACTGGGGCTTTAGGCACACCCAGGACCCTACCACAAGCTACAACCCCAGCCTGAGGCTAACCTTCTACTTAACATTTTAGACAAAATATTCTGTAGGATTCTTGGAGACGTATAAACTGCATGGTGAAAATACAGCAGAGTACATGTAAAACTAACAATGTTTACCTTCTTCGGCTAGGGATTAGAAGCCAGACAATAAGAAGTTTTAAAGCATTTTCATACTTTCTGCCTTTTTAAAAAAGATGTACTTCACTCCTGTACTGTGTGGACATATACGTGTATACCTGTGTTTGCTGGTTTGTGTAGCCATGCACAGGCTTATGGGGGCCAGAGCAGGACATCAACTTTATCTCCTTGAGACTGGATCTTCTCACTCAACCTGATGCTTGAGGGCTCAGCTAGGCTGGATGGCCATTGAGCTCTTAGGATTTCCCTTTCCCCACTGCCCTACCCATGTTGGGGTTACAGGCAGGCACAGCTGCGCCAGATTCTCATCTGAGTGCTGGGGGCTCAAAAAACAGTTCTTATACTTAATGGGAACACTCCTACCTCTAGTGCCAGAAGCGACAGGGTAACTGTTATCTACAGAAATCTGAATATATTAAATAAATTGAGAAATAAAGAAAATGATGTTCAAAAAATGGTTAAAGGAAATTCTGAGCACTTAAGTCTTTACTCAATGCTTAGCATGCAAGAAAATACAATCTACTCAGAATCTTTCCTGGAGCAATCTAGGCAAGAATTTAAACATAGGGTTTGTTAAGGACTGGAACAAATTGACAGTCAAGGAGGAAATGACACATCGACATTGTTTTTCTAGGGTACACACCTTCCATTGGGCAGGGTACCCTATACCTGGGGCTGGACAAGCACACTGTGACCTCAATCTTTGCTCCACATACTATGCTCCCTTAGGACAATAATCCTACATGACAGTCAATGACCCAGTTCACATATCTCTCCCTGTCCCCATTCCTGGTTCAATTAAGGATTAGAGAGGAAGAAAAAATTCTCCAGTGATGCTCAAAGCCCCGAAGCTCATATAAATGGGTTATTTCAAAACACGGAAAGCCAAGGGTTTCCCTTGAGTCTTGTGGGATTTATTATTTACATGAACTTATTGTAATATGATAAATTTAGCATACTATGAAGCATACTGTGACCACCTATCCTTAAATGCCTTTACATGTTTTATCAGGACGAGGATGTTACTGTTTTGATAATAAGGCTGCATTTAAAAAGATAAACTATTTTGCTTATTATATCTATGAATCTATTAAAAGAACATGATCTGAGTTCAATGAATTATTTTAATCTGAAACCTTAATATTATCAACAAACAATATTACTGCCACTTCTCACTCATATTACAATGGATTCAGTATGGGAAAACACGAACTACAAAACAAAACTGTTTGTGCACACACTTGTACCAACACCCTTCACAATAGCCTCAAATAATATAAAATATCTTGGGGGTAACTCTAACCAACTCAAGTCAAGAAACTTGCATGATAAAAACTTCAAGTCTTTGAAGAAAGAAACTGAAGATATCAGAAGATGAAAAGATATCTCGTGCTCATGGATTAACAGAATTAGCATTGTGAACATGGCCATCTTACCAGAAGCAATCTACATATTCAACACAATCCCGATCAAAAGTCCAGCACAATTCTTTACAGCTCTTGAAAGGACAATTCTCAACTTCAGGTGGAAAAGCAAAAAAACACGGGATAGTCAAAACAATCCCGCACTATTAAAGAACCGCTGAAGGTTTCACCATTTTTCACCATTCCTAATTTCAAATTGTATCACAGCATTATAGTTTAAAAGAAAAACACTCATGGTATTGGCATGAAAAAAGAACACATTGATCAATGGAGTCGAATTGAAGAATCAGACATTAGTCCGCGCGCACCTGATTTTTGGTAAGGAAGCCAGCAATACACACTGAAAGAGAGACAGCAACGTCAACAAATGGTGCTGGTCAAGGGGACTGTGTGCATGTAGAAGAATGAAAATAGATTCATATCTATCCCCACGCACAAAATTCAAGTCCAAGTGGACCAA